GTCTGTGTGTCCGTTTGTCCGTCCGTCCATCCAACCGACCGTCCATCTATCTGTCCATCCATCCGTCCGTCCGGCTGTCTGCGTCTCTCTCTCTCTCTCACTATCTCTCTCTCTCTCTGTCTTCTCCTCGGTATGTGTGTCTGTGTGTCCGTTTGTCCGTCCGTCCATCCAACCGACCGTCCATCTATCTGTCCATCCATCCGTCCTCCGGCTGTCTGGTCTCTCTCTCTCTCTCTCCTCTCTCTTCTTCTTCTCTTCTCGCTCTCACTTGCTCTCTCTCTGCTCTCTCTACTCTCTCTCGCTCCTCTCTCTTTCCTCTCTCTCTCTCCTCTCTCTCTCTCTCTCCGCCACACTCTCTCTTTCCCGCTCTCGCCGCGCTCTCTCTCTCTTGCTCGCTCTCTCCCCCTCTCTTTCTATGCTGCGGTGTGTCTGTCTACCTTCCACTTTCAGTCTCTTCGCCTGCCCTCACGAGGTGCTCTCGTTCTCTATCTCACCCTTTCTCTCTCTTCGCTCTTCGCTCTCGCTGTCTATCGCCTCTCACGCTTACTCAGCACTTCCACGCTGCAGGGGACATGATGAGCCTGATTGAATGTCTATATACACTTACTGTATCTCCCTTCCATTTAGATCGATTGTCGGAGGTTTCGAATTCAAAGCTTTGCGCTGGCGGCGTTTATAGACCGCTGTCTTGCTGCACGAACGCAGATGAGAGAGAGCGGAGAGAGAGAGAGAGAGCCAAGAGAGAGAGAGCGGAGAGAGAGAGAGAGAGGAGCGCGCGCGGAGAGAAGCGAGGCGACGAGGAGAAGACGATGAGACGCGGAGAGAGACGACGAGAGAGAGAGAGAAGAAGAGAGGGAGAGAGCGAGGAGACTGGAGAGACAGACGACCGAGAGACGACGAGACGCGTGCGAGGCGGGGAGCATTGCCGGTAGTTGGCACTTGTGGCGGGATGAGCAGAGAACAGTACTTCGATCATCCTGCATTTAGAGATCACCTGCGCCGACCCCGCACCACCCCCATCCTCACGCGCACATACAAGTCTTACACTCCCCCACGGCACGCGTGTACGTACGTAGTTTGAACCCTCTCATATATATCTTATTTTGAGTATTACGCGGATGGCGTGTCGTAACGGGTCTCAGGGTTCTTGGCTGTTCATACCGCATGCAGCTGCCGGGGTCCTGTCCTGGTTGTTGATATGTGTGTTACTGTAGCATGTGCGTGCGCGTGCGTGCGTGGCTGCGTGAGGTGGTGTGTCGCGTTCGCGCGCCGCGTTGTTTGGTGGTGTGCGTGGTGGTGGGGTGCTCGTATGCGCACCTACGTTGTTGTACCCCCGTGTGTGTGTGTGCGTTCATGGCTGGTCGCGCGCGTGTGTAAGCGCAGAAACACTCAGTGGTCTCTTGCGACTCTGCGTCCCGTTGTTCAGAAACAAACATTAGTCTTAACATTAGTCTTAACATGAACTTTTTCTTAGACCGTCGACAGAAACGCTGCGAAGTTACCTGGAATGGAAAATGTAGCAGATTCCTCATAACAAATACGACAACAAGCGCGCACGGCTGTCGACCGTCTACGAGGAAAATGTTATGGTTACAGACTCAATGTTAGAAGCTAACTGTCTTGTTTTCTGACAACGGGCTCCTGGTAGGTAGGTTGACAGCTGGGGGATTGACTCTTAATAACAGCACGAGTGCCGCGGGCGTTTACGCGATCTCTCACACTCGTTGTCGCTGGCCTGGCCTATCTGCGTCACGCGTTGTCCGTCGCCGTCACGTCGTCGTCTTTCTCCGGGGAGTGTTAATTAAGCATCATTATCAGTTTCTTTGCTAATTAGCGCGTCTTGGTTGTCCATGTGTCTCGGCGGGCATCCCGTTGTCTGTAATTGACATGATCCTCCATGTGAACCCTCGGGCCATCGTGTCCGGAACTGCAGCGACGGAAGAGGAACAGTGCAGCTTCGCGTTGCAGGAAAATTAGGCGTCCCTCTATTGTCGTCGGGCTGGGCTGCTTCGCACGCAGGGCCACACTGTGTGTGTGGGGGTGTTTGTCGGTGGTGCTGTGAGGGCGCTGGGGGCGTGCTGTTTGTGTGTGTGTGTGTGCGTGCGGTACCGTGCGTGCGTGCGTGCCGTGTGTGCCGGTGTTTGTATGCGTGTGTACCGTGCTTGTGTGCGCCCGTGCACGCGTCATGTGCGCGCCGTATGCGAGGATGCGTGTGTGGCAATGCGTGCACGTAGCGCTCTGCCGTCTGGTCTCGTTGTACGCATGATGAGCGTCTCGGCGCGCGTGGTCGCGTTGTGCGTGCGTGCGGAGCACGCTGTCTCGCACGTGAGCGGCCGATCGGGTACTCGGGAACAATAGCGCAACCCACGTTCGATAGGATTTCGCGAGCCTCTCGTCCGCGCTGCGCTGTCGCATCTGTTACTGTGCGTACACTGACCGAGGCCAGGTAGTGAGCGTAAGTGAGTAGGCCGGGTCTCTGTGAGGACACTGGCCCTGGGGTACCTGGCAGCTGTAGCTCATAGGAAACTATAGCCCTCGCCTCTTTTTTTTTTTCGGCGCCCCCCCACCAGCGGCTACTCCTAGGAAACTCTGATACAGCCCTTTCGTCTGCCACAGGCTAGCTCTACGAAACTGAGCCCTCTCGCTCTGCCACAGGGCTTATAGCTCCTAGAACGTATAGGTCGCCTGCCACAGGGCTAGCTCTTAGAACGTATAGCCTTCCGCCTGACTGCTCACAGCGGCTGAGCTCGCTGAATAGACCCATCTCTGCGCTCTTGCACCAGCGGCTAGCTCTCAGTACTATAGCCCTTCGCTCTGCCAGCGAGGGGCTAGCCTCTCGTCCTAGAACCTACTAGCCTCCGCTCGGCCCAGCAGCGGCGTGCTCTAGAACTATAGCCCGTCGCTCTGCACAGGCGCTAGCTCGTTCAGACTACTGATAGCCCTTTCGCGCTGCCAAAGGGCTGCTCTTAGAACTATAGCCCTTTGCTCTGCCACAGGGCTAGCTCTAAAATTATAGCCCTTCGCTCTGCCCACGGACCTCGTGGCAGATAGCCGCAAGGCTTTAGTTTCTAGAGCTATGTCAGTGAATGCGGCGTGCGGCCTAAAGCGGCCAGCGGCCTTATATCGCGTGATTGCGTAGATATGTCAAGGCTATAATACTTTAGCTCTTGATTATTAGCTTCCTTCGGTATTATTAGCTCTTGGATATGGTCTACCCACCACCGGTAAGCGGAAACCGCGGAGAAGGAAGAGGAGGAAAGATAACTGGACAGCCACTGGAGTCAGCTCAGGCGGGGGAGGACGGGATCGGGGGGGGAGGGGGGAGAGGAGAGCGCGTGCGGGACGCGCGGAGGGCGGAGCGCTGAGATTCACTCCGCTCTCTATGAAGGCCCAACCGCAGTCCGAGAGTAGAACGAAGTGTTACGTGGTGGGAACGATCTATAGTCCTCCTATATGGGTCCTACGGTTATTAGTAAGGGGTATAGTGAATGGGGAAATTTTTTTTAAATCAAATTTTTTATTTTTATTTAAAATTTAAAATTAAAATTTTAATTAATTTTTTACATTTAATTTTTAATTTAATTTTTAATTTTTTATTATAATTTAAATTTTGTTTAAATTATTTTTTTTTTTTAAATTATGGCTATGCCATTCATTTGTTTATGCAATGCATTGCCATGCACTATTGCATGTATTTGTTAACGCTTTATAGGTATTTCACGTTAACCATTGTGACGCGATGTTATTAAACTCAGTTTATTACTTATTATTGCTGTGAAGGGTTGAATTGCGATTGGATGATTGATTGAAATATCGCGCCTGCTGTGTGCCTGCGTGCACCGTAGGACCAATACCCGTAGGACTATTCAAAATACTGTTTACAATACAATAATACAATAAAGTGAATAACGAGAGATATAATCCTGAGAGTCAATAAAGAATTACTACGTAGCCATACAATCAAAGCTGATGATTGTTGTAGCGCCATCACATATGGGCAGACCGCAGTCTGAGAATGAATGAAGGGCTGAATTTACTACATGGGCATAGTTATTTACTATGCAAATGAGTGAATACCTAAAACTAGTGTTTATTACATACGGCGTGTGTGTAGCCGTGTTGTAACGTAGATGTGGACAAGATGAGAAACCGATCACGTGAGAGAGGCGCAATAATGTGAGAGAAAAAGAGTAAGAAGAGAAGGTGGGAGAGAAACAGGGAGGGATTATATATTATAGTATATATTATATGAATAGAGAGAGAGAGGGAGAGAGGAAGAGAGAGAGGAGTATGGCGAGGAGAGAGAGAGAAGGGATATATAGATGAATATGAAGAGAGAGAGGGGGGAGAGGAAGTAAGAGAGAGAGAGAAGAGAGAGAGAGAGAGAGAGAGAGAGAGAGAGAGAGCGCGGGAGAGAGAGCGGAGCAGAGAGAGAGAGAGAGAGAGAGGAGAGAGAGAGAGAGAGAGAGAGAGAGAGAGCAGCAGTGCAACAGCACAACCGATCGAGCGAATATGTCTACCCGCCGACCGTTTAACTGGTTGCCAACCCCCATAACGTTGTTATTCAACCGCTGCGAGCTACGGCCCCCGGTCATGGACCAACCACTCACGCACACACGTCAGCCTGCCAGGTACAACGTATATCTTGTACCATCGATGCTTTCCCCCCTCCCAGTCGACACCCGGGCGGGCGAGGGGAGGCTCAGTGTTACCGCGCGGCACACACAGCAGGAAGGCAGGCGAGGAGTGTTGTGCATCGCCACCTCTCTCAAGCAACGACGTAGCGGCTTGAAGGACGACGCTGAATGGCCGCCTATTACGCGGAGCTGAGTAACTATGTATGTGTGCGGTGATGCGTGTGCCTAGTGCCGGCCCGCGCGCGCTGTCTGTGTGTGTGTGTGTGCGTGGATGTGTGTGTGTGCTGTGTGTGTTGTTGGTGTTGTGTTGTGGTTGTGTGTGTTGGTTGTGAGTGTGTGTGTGGTAGTGTGTAGTGTGTGCTTGTGTGTGTGTGTGTTGTGTGTGTGTGTGTTGTGTGATTGTGCTGTTTGTGTGTGATGTGTGTGTGTGTGTGTGTGTGTGTGTGTGTTGTGTTATTTATGCTGACTGTGTGCTGTGTGTGTGTGTGCTGGGATGTGTGCTGTCGTGTGTTGTGTGTGTGTGTGTCGTGAAATGTGTTGTGTGTATTTACCTCGCAGACACACACACACTCGCGCGCGCGCGCACACGCACGCACACACACACACACACACACACACACACACACACACACACACACACACACACAGAGTGTGGGAAAAAGAATATGAAAGTGGAATAGATAGCGACACTCGCGCACATACTTTAGTTCAAGTGCGCGGAAACGAGTGACGTCACACATCGAAGTGGTTCGCACTTGCCTGTAGAACACATGGTTTATAATCCCTCCTCATCCTCCTCTTGCTGCCGCCGCTACTGCTGCTGCTGCTTCTACTGCTTCTACTGCTGAAAGCTGCATGCACACCAAGCACGAAACATCACCGCCATCGTCACCCGTGTAGTGGCGTGTGTGCACGTGCGCGCGCGCGTGTGTGAGTGCGTATGCGTGCGCGCGCGTGCGCTCATGTGTGTGTGTGTGTTTGTGTGTGTGTGTGTGTGTGTGTGTGTGTGTGTGTGTGTGTTTGTGTGTGTGTATGTGTGTGTGCTTGCGCGCGCGTGTGTATACCGCGCTGCCGGAAGAGAGATATGTGGTCATATACTCGTGCCTCGCACCTCCCTGGATGCGCTACGTCAAACTCGCACTTACCCCCGCGCTTCCACAGCAAGGAGGACGCGTGTACAACCATAGTAGTCAGCCATAGCAGCTGCAGCAGTCGCAGTAGAAATAACAGCAGTAGAAACAGCATTAACAACAGCAGTTGCCGTAGTACCAACAACAGTAGTAGTAACACCTGCCAACAACAAGAATAACAACAACAACAACAACAACAACAGCAGCAGCAGCAGCAGCATCAACAACAGTCACAGTAGCAGCAGAAGCGACAGCAACAACAGCAGCAGCAGTGGCAGCCGACAGCAGCAGTAGCAGCCTTAGCAGCAGCTGCAGCTGCAGAACCAGCAGCAGTAGTAGCAGCACTTGCAGTCGCACGAGTAGCGAATGCAACGGCAGCACCGGTGACAGCCTCAGCCACTGGCGCCGCCACCGTCGCAGCAGCAGCAGCGCCCCCTATACAGCGAGCGTCTTCGGTAGCCAGGTAATACCGATGTCAGCAGTGGAAGCGAACGGTCGACATTCTCACGACATCTTCTCTCCCCCGAGAAAGTTCAGCATGGATGGAGGAGGACGCGCCAGCATCCGAGGAGGAGGGTGGAGCGCGATGCAGGGCTCGCGGATGCGTCTCTTTCTCGGCGTCTCACTTCTCACCATCTTCGTCCTTCTCGTCATCGTCTGCATCCTTCTCGGCGTCATCTTTCGCTCGCCTAGCAGCGACGATGCGAAACAAACGAACGGCTCCGGCCAGTTTCTCAATGCAACCACCTCCTCCTCACCTTCTCCCCCGGAGAAAAAACGCCCGAGAGACGTGGATCTGAGGCTTCCTTTCTCGCTATCTCCGCGGCACTACGACCTCACGCTGCAGGCATTCCTTGGCGACCCGGAACACCTCAGGTTCTTCGGCAGCGTCAACATCACCGTCGCCGTCCTGTCTCCGACGTCGACGATACGTCTGCACGCGAACGAGTTGACGATAGAAAGTGTCGGCGTGGCGGTGAACGACAGCGGCAGGTTGTCACCTGTCCGTGTAAGAGAACACTCCCTCGATACGCTGCGACAGTTTCTCGTCATAGACACGGCTAGGGAGCTGAAGGCGGGAAGCAGCGTCGTGGTTAGGGTAAGCTTCAGCGGGCGGCTGGGCATGGACCTGAGAGGTTTCTACGTGGTGCGATACGCGGATGCGAAAGGAATACCCCGGTACGTATGTGTCTTATAGCCCGCGCAGTCACGTTGTAAAATTGTTGTAAACGAGATAGATTGAGCGGAGCAAGGGGGGGAGGAAGAGAAGAGTTTGTGAGTGAGAGTGAGAGAGAAAGAGAGAGAGAGAGAGAGAAAAAGAAAGAGAGCAAGCAAGGGAGAGCGGGTGAACGAGAGAGGGGGGAATAAACACGCGCATAGGAAGGAGAAAGACAGACAGACATAGGGAGAGAGAGGGGTGAGAAAGAGTATTTGAGAGAGAGGAAGAGAGAGAGAGAGAGCAAGAGAGAGAGAGAGCGAGAGAGAGAGAGAGAGAGAGAGAGAGAGAGGATATTCCTTTCGACGAGAAGCCATGCCGCCAGTCATTCAGACAGCACCACAACCGAGTCGAGCAGACCTCTATGCTCATACCCCGGTCGAAACCGGTGCCTCTGTAACTGGTTGCAACCCGATCCAACGGAAGGCTACGTCTGTTACTATATCACGCGTATGCTGCCTTCCGCTTCAGCTCTCCTACGTAGTTCTATGACGAGACAGAACTCTCTGCAGCCGGTCCATGACTACAATCCACTCACGCGACGATGACACGTGGTTCTCTTACACGACTAGTCGGGTGCCTACCAACACACTGTACAACCCGCTGCTATCTGTTTACGCGATTCTGTCGATGCTTCCCCCTCCAGTCGACACCCTCGTCCAAGGGCGAGCCCGGCCATCACCGACACTTTCTATCGTCAACTCAGTTCGCGTGCAGAACGTAAATCGTCGACGTAGGCGGAGACAGGACGCACGCTTCGTGAAGTGGTTGACTCTCAGCCTCCGCGGAAGAACCTGATGTTTTCCGGGTCGCCAAGGAAGCCATGCAGCCCACGTGCAGGTCGGTAGGCGCGCCGGCACCACACGTGAAGCCAGAAGCATGCGAGGAGAGACAATGCGAGAAAGGAAGCTCGATCGCACGTCCTCCGGCGTTTTTTTCTCCGGGGAGAAGTCGAGGAGGAGGTGGTTGATTTGAGAAACGGCGCGGAGCGTTCGTTTGTTTCGATTCTCGCGCTAAGGCGAGCGAAGATGACGACGGATGTAAGTCATGCGAGACAGATGACTGAGTGATAGCATCGCCAAGCGCACGAGATGTCTGTAGCCATCAGATAGAACCCAGCAGACGAAGAAAGATCGCGACGCATCCGCGAGCCTTGGACAGAACTCGCAGCGCATCCACCCTCCTCCTCGGATGCTCGGCGCGTCTCCTACCATCCACCGTGCTGACTGTGTAGAAGGTGACGAGTTACACTCATGTCGTGGAGAATGTCCGACCGCTTCGCTGTCCACTGCTCTGACATCGGCGTGATTATTACCTGGTACCGGAACGGAACGCTCCTGCGTTTGTTTTTGGAAATGTATTTAGGGGCGGCTCGCCTGCTGCTGTACTTCACG